TGGTGATGGCGGTGGTGACGCGAGCAGAAGGGGGCCCTGAAGGCCTCCTGGAAGCCCCGTCGGAAGTTCTCGTTGAAGTAGCCATAGATAATGGGGTTGGCGCTGCTGTTGAAGAAGGCCAACCAGTGGGCGAAGGGGAAGATGTAGACGGCGACCAGGTGGAGCTGGCCCTCGCTCAACTGCCCATAGTCCATCAGCAGCATCAGTGTCCAGAGGGGCAGCCAGGAGAGGGTGAAGAAGAGGGCAACGCTGATGAGCATGTTGATGACCTTGGCCTTCCTCCGGGAGACCTTCCTCCCCTCCGGCTCCCCTTGGCCACGGTCGGGTGCTGCCGACTTGAAGAGCTTGAAGGCGATGCGGGCGTACATGATGATGATGAGGGCAAGAGGGGCCACGTAGATGTGGGAGAAGAGGACGGTGGTGTAGATCCTCCTCATCCCCGTCTCAGGCCAGGCCTCCCAACAGGAGTAGAGGGGATAGGAGTTGTTGTAGGTGTCCACCATGAAGTGGTGCTCCTCCCTGGTGACAGTCAGGGTGATGGCGGCAGGACACATGATGAGCAGAGCCAGCACCCAGATGATAGCAATGGTCACCAGGGCTTTCCTCAGCGTCAGCTTCTGCCGGAAGGGGTGGACAATGCAGCGAAACCTGCAGGAGGGCAGATGGTGGTTGCTTTGGGCACCTGGTGGGACGTTCCTGGGAAGGAGGGTGGCCAGGACCCAGGGGTGGGAAGGGACGGTAAGGTGGGTTGCTCTTTACATATGGCTTTTGGTGGCAGAGATAGCTTGGGATCTCTCCAGCTTTGGTGTTCTCAGCCCAAGGTGGGGAAGGACACCTTGCTGGGATGCCCCGTGGACTGCTTTGTGGTCCTCCTGGAGTGCTGGGACACACTCCTGACATCCCCATGAGCATTCCCGTGATGGAAACCACATGAACATGCTGGGGGGCGGCTTGGTCCTCATGTCCCCACATCCCTGCACCGACGTACCTCTCCACGGCGATGGCCACCAGCGTGAAAACGGAGGCAGAGACGGACATGCCCTGCACCAGGCCGCTCATTTTGCACATGGTGTTGTCAAAGGGCCAACCTGTGAGGGGACACCGTGGAGGCTGTAGGTGCCTTTGCCTTGGCTGGGTCCATCAGCAGCTCCCTCTAGATGTCCCCATCCACCATGTCGTTGCTGGGGGATGCTAAATCCTGCTCCTAAGGGGGGGTGCTGCATTTTTGGCCCATACAGAGATGGCCTTCAGCAGCACAGACGCTTGGGGAAAAAACCCCAAAATTGGTAAAAAAGATGCATGTTACACTTAGAAACTCAAGGAGCATGGTGGTTGTCATTTCTCCAACCCTTACGTAGGGCTTGAGCTGTTATCACGGGGACCGACCTTGGGATCCTCAATCAGGAGGGCTTTCGTCTTGTTTCTTGACCCCAATGCTAAGGCGTTGGCAATAAATAAATCGCACCCCGTGATAAATAAATACAGACTCTGCCCCGCGCCCTGGCTAAACGCAGCCAAACGTGCCAACGTCACCTTTTGTCTTTGGAAAGGTCAACGGGCAGAGCTGAGCCAGCACGAGAGAAGATCGATGCAAGAAGAAAATGGTTTTTTCCAGTGTTGCTTGATGGAGAATGGGTGAACTTTAAATAAATAAGTGAATGCAGCTTTAAGGTCATACTTATTTTGCCAAAAATGTTCAAAACCTCAAATAAAAAAAAAAAAAAAAAGGACTTTTCCTCACTAAAATAGTAGCTCTAAATGAAACGATACCTTTCATCAGGTGTGGTTGAGTGGCCACCACCTCCCCTCTTCATCCTCAGCAAAAAAATCACCCACGGGGTGGCCTTATGTGGGGGGAGGGCAGAAGGTGGGTGATGTTCCCCACCACTTTCTCTCCCTCCCTTGTGTCTCACCCCTCCACTGCCCCGCTCACCCGTGATGAGGTTGTCCACCAAGGTGGTGGGCATGCAGAAGATGCCCACCAGCAGGTCGCTGATGGCCAGGTTGAGGATGAACATGTTGGTGACCGTCCGCATCTGGCGGTTTTTCACCACGATGAAGCACACCAGGATGTTGCCGATCATGCACATGAGGAAGATGAAGGTGTAGGCCAGGATGAACATGGCTGCCACTGGGGAGGAGTGCTGGTAGTACGCCGAGAAGGTGTAGTTCTCCCTCAGGAGGTGGCTCTTGCTTGCGGTGGAGTTGGGCCAACTGCCGTTGGAAGGGCCTGGGGAAGGGAAGGCAGGAGAACGAAGCTCAGAGAGGATAAAGCGATTATTCCTTTCATTTTTTAATGCCCTCGGAGGTGGGTTTTCATATTTATACCAGTGCCCAGCCCGGCCGTGTCCTGCTGGGACCATCTCGATGCCCCAACAAGCCTCCTCCTCCTTGGGTTACGCAGCCCAAGGTACTCCAGCACCTCGGCTGAATTAATATTTTATATCATTATTATTTTATACCAGTATTTTGATGAGGAATTAAAGCAGCCCAGAAAACATCTTGTTCTCATGGGACTTTTTTTTTTTTTTCCTTAGGGGTGATACAAGGAAGAAGAATCCATATCCCGACACCGATTTAAGAGGGGGAGCAGTTCTGCGCAGCACCCACCCTCCGATTTCCCCAGCTTTGTGCAGGCAGGGACGCGGGAGGATGCCGGGCGCAGGCAGGAGCTGCCTGCAGCGGTGACGGGACTTACTCCGGGCAAACCCAGGCTGGAATTTTAAGGCAGGAAGAAAAAAAAAAAAAAAAAGGTCTATTTTTGCTTTAAGGCTCATCCTAATTGCCTGCAAGTCAGCTCCGCTCTGCAAAAGCACCGCAAAGCTGCTGCATGGTGGGCGGCCGTCTCATTCTCATCCCCCCGTCCCTGTGCCGGCGCTCAGCTCGCCAGCCAAGGTGCTTTTCCCG